CATTTTCCGGGCTTCAGCCGTAGGAGGTAACCTTGAAGGGACTGGTCTCAATGATGGTGCGCTACACGGGAATGGTGGCTATACAGGCTCTCCATTCCTCATGACCATGTACCTCAACCCCAAAACACCTCAGGAGGAGCATTTTAACAGAGCATACAAGTTCACGCGATGTCCTTAGGGCGAACTTTTGGATCGTTGAAAAAGAGATTCCATGTGCTACACTAAGAAGTGAGGATGACTCCTGACAGGGTAAGCACCTTGATTGTAGCCTGCTGCATTTTACTCAACCTCGGCGTCAACTTAAGGGAACCAGAGCCAGAGAACTGTGACATGGATGGTGAAGGGTGTGCTGCTGACCTTCACATCCGGTACCATGGTCGTGAAACTGGTAATGCTGTTAAAGAGCACGCTGCTCACAACCTTTTTAAAATTTGGAAATGTGCACAGAGTTGCATGATCAATGCTTTATTTTTTCATGATTCGTGGAAATCTTTGATGATGACAATTCTTTTCTTTTAACAAAGTGTGAATGGCTTGTATATTCTATGCACAACTAACTGTGTGTATCATTTACAAGTTTAACTATAAAGCCATTGGCTTACGCTTTTAGGGCTCAGCGTTTTTGAAATTCAGAGTATAGACTTGAAAGAAAAATCGACACTCACAATAGGCTTTTTGCAATAGTCCAATGTATATCCTACCTTTTATAATAAGCATTGAGGTAATAAGGCATTAGCCGTTAAGGTAATAGGCATTAGTTTGTTAATTGTATTGACTGCATTAAAAGTGCCATTGCAAGTAAAGATTTGTGCATTAAATGATCAATGACATTTATACTTATATAATAATGTCCTCTGTTTTCTAAAAACGGATATATATTTAACTGTGGAATAGTTTAAGGTAAAAGTTCACTTCCACAAGCAAAAATGGCTCAGAAAAAGCTGTAGAAGGTCTAGGTATAAAAGCTTTGACAGTGTGCAGAAAGACATGTTTGCTGACTTTACCTTTTTAACAAACCAATCTTTGAAAGTTCGAATACCTGGAAGCTGCCAGGAAAAAAAAAGGGGGGGGGGGGGGTTGATGTCAAAGCTTCCAAATATAGAGTGCTTGAAATGGTCATCTAATGATTGAGGATCCAAGATTGAGGATCCCAGATTGAGGATCCAAAGGATACCACTGTTTTATCCAAAATGTTGTGAGTTTTCAATATATTTATTTGGTGTAATTGTGCCGGTGAGTATAGAGATGCGTTCACTCTGATTGGTTGAGGATTGCATTGTATCCCTCCATAATCATTGGCCTGGATTATCTGCCTCACTGAGACACTAGAGATTTCAAGGATAAAATAAGAGTCCATTCGGGCCGGTGAGACATTGATTCAGGCTCAGGTGGGGATCGAAGTTATCTTTTTAACTCGTGAATTGCGCGCATGCGCAAGAGCGAGTTGTTGATATGATGTGGAGAATGGTACTCGCTCGCTCGCTCGATTGGTCGATTCCTGTAAATTTTTTTTCGTTTTTAGGCTTTTGAGTGCATTTGATAGTTTTTGGCGAGTAATAAACAAACGCAATGGCGAACCTTTGTTGCTTAGAATAGTGGTGGGGTGGAAAAGAAGCCAATGATAATCTTAAAAGAGTTTTTTTTTTTTTTTCGTTTTAGCTTCAACAAGCGGCGCCAGCGACTGGCAGGCGTGCAAGGATTCACACCGAAACAAGAGAACAACCTTCGTTTTTCATAAAATTGTAATTTACAATCCTTGAACTTGAAAACAATACGAAGATTCATTAAAAATATCATTTACTCCGAAGCGCTCGGGTTTACAGGTGTTCCAAAGCTTTTTTTTCTGTTATGGCGTGAGATTGGGGACAAAATCGATCATTACATTTCTTATCGTGTGTTTTTCCTGTGTGAAGCAACAAAAGGTGCCGACGAAGCTAAGAACACTACTGAAACGAGTAGTTGTAAATAGGACCTGAAAAGAGAGATGAAATTAGTAGTGTTCTTAGCTGCGAGGATCTCCTAATTTCATCTCTCCACCGCAGTGCAAATATATGAATTTTCATATATCGAAAATCATCATTCACTTGGATGTTTATTTGGACCCAATTCATTGACCACCTCCAAGTTGGCTTGTTAGCTCAATTGGTAGAGCGTTGCACCGGTATTGCAGAGGTCATGGGTTCAAATTCCGTACGGGCCTGAATTTTTTTCAGGTCCTATTTACAACTACTCGTTTTAGTAGTGTTCTTAGCTGCAAGGATCTCCTAATTTCAAAAGAGTGAATGTTTATTTCTCTATCTCAAGCTAAATGCAACATTACAAATTGGCACTTCTTCCCATTGATACATTCAATTTTTTCTGGGAGTGAATGTGAACACACCGATTATTCATCTCGGTACAGTTTCGGTCATTTTTGTTGTCGAGTAAAACAGGGAAAACGTTTATCTGAGTTTCTCCAAAGTGCACCGACTCTGGAACTGAAAATACCCACCTAGCTGACTTTAATATTGCAGTTTTTAAATATGTAAAAATCTCTGCGGGCCTACCTCTACTCTCCATAGGGGCAATTCACGAACGAAGCTCAAAAATCAGATATTGCATAATTTGGCGATGTTTACATCCAATGTTCTCAACAACAAACCTTTCAGAAAAATGAAACGTGGAAGGCTTTGAAAGAATGTTATCTTATGAACAATATCTCGAAGAGAAATCCTGCCTCCGGTCGTCATCTTTTAAAAAAATTGATCAACCCTCATGGAGGACTACTCGACGTAACTACAAACATATACCTCAAATCGGGTGCATATCATCCAGATTCCGAGTGCTGCACCCTCTTTCATGGGAATTTGAGCGATCCGAAGTCCTCTGAAGATACACTGTTATACTTGCATGTCATTTAAAACATGTTGAATTCGGCTGATCTACACGAAACTATCCCCACACCAGTCCTTTGTCATAAACATGTACGTTGTCACGATGGCGTCTCCGTGAAGTTTCCATTGGTCGCTCCAAAGAAGACGACAAATGTACATTTTTCGATATATCAGCAGATTTCCGCGCATTCTAAGTAACAGCAACCAAAAAAAAAAAAGAAGAAAACCTCGATTGAACGCTTGTAAACACTGAGAATCTGAGAGCAGAAATCTCAACTTGTTAGCGGCAGTACCACATGTAAAACCCAGTCGCCGCAATAGCAATTTGTACGACTCGCGCGAAAATCATAACAAAGTGGAGATTTTGAATCACTAAATATCTCTGTAGTACAGCAAATGGAACAGGGATTTCATCACAATTAATTTCCAAAAATTTGGCTTTTTTTCAGGCAGTCTTTCATGTGCTCGAACGTCATATTGGCTTTGAGCCTTGGGATTTATTTGTCACTAAAATGCTATAGATAGTGCTTACAAAATTACAAAGGAACTATTTTTGGTGGCGCTTGGTTGTTCAATTTTTTTCTTAAAGATGACGACCAGTGGCGAGATTTCTCTTCGGGATATTGCTCATAAGATAATATTCTTTCAAAGCCTTGCACGTTTCATTTGTTTGAAACGTTTGTTGTTGAGAACATTAGATGTAAACATCGCCAAATTATGCAATATCTGATTTTTTGAGCTTCGTTCGCGAATTTCCCCTACGGAAAGTAGAGGTAGGCCCGCAGAGATTTTTACATATTTACAAACTAGAATATTATAGTCAGCTAGGTGGGTATTTTCAGTTCCAGAATCGGTGGAGAAATTCAGAAAAACGTTTTCCCTGTTTCACTCGACAACAAAAATGACCGAAACTGTACCGAGATGAATAATCTATTGGTGTGTTCACATCCACTCCCAGGGAAAATTAAATATATTAAAGTGAAGACGAATGATGTCACTATGCATGGTAGAAGTACCAATTTGTAATGTTTTATTTAGCTTGAGATAGATAAATGAAAATTTCACTCTTTTTTTGCGACGTTTTTGTATGAAGATGAGGCCCCAGGCCTCGAACAAGCAGTCGTTGTTGCCATGGCAACATGAGTGTTGCAACCTTTCAAAGGGCATTTTTGTGCATCCCCCCTGAGTGTCTAACTGCATGCAAAATTTGAAGGGGGGTTGAAAATTTTTATTTCCCAAGATGTTTGATTCTTAAAGAGACTTGTTCTTAAAAGTGCCATTGTAAGTAAAGATTTGTGAATTAAATGATCAATGACCTTTATACTTATAGAATAATAACCTCTGTTTTTCTAAAAATGGATGTTTCTTTAACTGTAGAATAGTTAAAGGTAAAAGTTCACTTCCACAAGCAAAAATGGCTCAGAAAAAAAGGTGTAGAAGGACTAGGCGTTAAAGCTTTGACTATGTGCAGAAAGACATGTTTCCTGATTTTACCTTTTTAAAAAATTGGTGGGGGCATTTGAACGCAATTTTTGCCTTGGGGCGGGAATTTCAACAAAGCAATCTTTAAAAGTTCAAATACCTGGGAAGCCGCCAGGAAAAAAAGGGGGGGTGCCAAAGATTCCAATTGATTGTTGTATCAGGATTAAAAGGTATCAAAATTAAAACTACTATGCGATTAAGCGTGTGTATATTTCTAGGGAAATGGTGTACCAGTGATATGAAAATATGGGCAACTGACCGTAACAATCCAATTATTAACAGTTTCACAAGTCATAATCGAAACCATTGCAATTTGATTGTGTAAAGATTTATTCATTAGCCATCTTCTGTCTCATTTCAGAGGTGAATAGTTGTTGTTGACATTAATAAAGATGAGTTCGTGTAGTGTGATCGTCCGGGTGGGTGTAGTTCTGAAAAGAACTGTTGTTGGTGACTGACTTTTCGACTACCTGTGCGGTAGTCATCTTCAGAGTCAAGTGAAGAGTAGTTGTCAGTCGATGATGTTATAAAGTCTGGTCTGTTGAACGTGATTGGTCTGTTTAGCCGTGATGTGATTGGCTGGAAGACTCGTGTAGAGTTTGTTAACAGTCATTGGTCGGTTTCGATCCGTCTGTTGTTTGTCGGTCTGTTTGTCGGTTTGTTCACGTCGTTAATGAGCCGTTTGTAAGGTGCTGGTAGTTGTTGACATCTGTTGAGAGGCGTCTGTTCTAAGTTAGTAAACCAGCTTTCCAGAGTCAGTCGTTGAAAATAGTTTGTACTGTAGGTTAAGCATTTAGCAGAGTCCCAGTCGATTCTGTGATTAGTTTGTCGGTGATGTTCAGAAATGTGATTGTTTACATCGCCATTTCTAGTTGCTCGTTTGTGTTCATTTAGTCGCGTGTTAAGGTTTCTACCAGTCTCACCAATGTAAGAGGCCTGGCAGTCGGAGCATTCGATCTTATAAATCGCTCCCTGTCTGTTGTTGGGTTCGTCTTTGTCTTTAACGTTGGTCAGCAGATGTCGTAAAGTAGTAATAGGCCTGTGAGCTACGCGAATGTTGTAAGGTTGTAGGATCCGCGCGATAGCCTCAGAAGTGCCTTTGATGTAGGGTATAGCAGCTATAGTCGTGACAGATGTGGAGTCCCTGTTAGTTTCTGTAGTGTCGGTCGCCCTGTGAGTGTTTCGTCTAATGAAGTCAGTGTTGTAGTTGTTTTTGTCAAAAACACGGTCAAGGTACTTGTTTTCGTCAGATAAACTGTCCGGTGTGTTGCAAACAAGTTGCGCTCGTCTTGCCAATGTCTTGCCAGTCGTAGCTTTGTGGGAAATCGGGTTGTAGGATGATTCGTCAAGCAGTCTGTCGGTATGCGTCGGTTTTCTGTATATTGTTTTTCGTAGTTCGTTGTTGTTTCGGCCTACCAAACAGTCGAGAAAAGGAAGCTTGCCGTCTTCTTCGATCTCCCTGGTAAACTGAATGTCGGTGTTTTGTTCGTTAAGGTGATTGTGAAAAGCGTCAATTTCGTCTTTGTGTACGGCGGTAAATGTGTCATCAACGTAGCGTAACCAAAGCGGTTTGGTTTGTCGGCAAGTTGCAAGGGCGCGTTCCTCGATGTTTTGCATCACAATTTCTGCGACAACAACGGAGACCGGCGACCCCATAGCTGTTCCGTGCAACTGCTTGTAGCGTTTCCCGTTGTACTGAAAGTAAGTCGATGCAAGGCAGAGGTTAAGTAGGTCAATAATGTCTTCTGTCGGTAATGGTAGTGCATCAGTAGACTGTTGGATGGCGGTTTCAGTACACTGTAGAGCCAATTGAACAAGTTTGTAGTCGTCAGGTATCTGTACGTCTTTCATAGCGTCAATAAAGCTCTCAGTTGATTGTAGTTTACGTCTTGATTTGTCAGTCAGTGGTTGCAGTATCGTCGTAAGGTATTTCGACAGTTGGTACGTCGGGGACCCACAGAATGAGACTATAGGTCGCATAGGTATCCCAGGTTTGTGTAGTTTCGGTAATCCGTAAAGTTTAGGTGGTTGTGGTACAGAGCACCTCAGTCGGTAGTAGCGTTGAGTGTCAAAGGCTTCGGTCTTTTTGAGCGTAAGTAGTTTGTTGTTGAGTTTGCGTTGTAGTGCTGGCGTCGGGTCACGTTTAAGTAATTCGTAAGTTTGTTTGTCGTTAACAAGTGCGTCCATTTTGTCGTAGTAGTCAGTCTTGTCCATAACAACAGTAACACGTCCTTTGTCGGCTGGTAGTATAACAATGTTCTTGTCGTTTTTCAGTCGTTTCAGTGCTTGTTGTTCGTCTTTGGTTAAGTTGCTGTCAGTTATAGAGGCTGATTGTATCGTGGAAGCAATTCTACTTCTGATGTTGTCCTTGGCAGGTTCTGATAAGTCTCGTTGACGAGAAAGAGCCGCTTCAACACTAGATACAATAGACTCAGTCGGTATACGTTTAGGCGTCACTGAGTGTTTCAGTCCGTAAGATAGTACTTGAGTCTCAGTCTTGTCTAAGGGACGGGAAGAGATGTTCCTGACCCAGTTGTCGTCGGTTCTTTGTCTTTGTTATGTTGAAGTCGCGTCAGTTTTTGTTGATGTTTGTCACGAGCTTGGTAACTCGTTTTGTCGGCTCGTCTGTCGGCAATAGCTGTGACTGTGTCGAGTAAGATAGTCGGTAAATGCTGTTTCAGTTTGTCAAGTAGTTGTTGTAATTTGTTATTGTAGTGGTGGAGTCTTCTCTGACAGTCGTTAATCCGCGCTTTGACCAGTCGTCGGCGGGTGGATTTGACGATCTGGATGGCCTCTTGTGTGTTCAACGGGGACCTAAGTCGAAGTCCGGCCGGAACGAGACCAAGATCTTTGCAGCGGTGGTTGAACAAGAGTTGTTGTCGTATTCGTCTGACAATACTTACGTAACTGATGTAGTTGTTCGCAAGTCGTTCGCTCTGTCGTCCAAGTGAGCGTAGTAAACAACCATTTACTTTATTACTAAAGATGAATAACGCAACATTTGGGTGAAAACTGTCCAATCACTTAATTTATTTATGGCAATGTTTACAGCAGATGCCGTCTCAGATCATAGCTTTGCAGTTTAAAAAGAAAGTTACAAACAACTTAAGATTTGATTACAGTGGTTTAATAACTACATAAATGAATATGTAAAAAGCTGCACTAAAAAAGATAGTGATCTAGAAGGAGTGAAATGGTCACCTACTGAGTAGCTCCCATATTTAGGATCTAAAGGATACCAATGTTTTGTCCAAAATGTTGTGAGTTTTCAATATATTTATTGGTGTTATCGGTGATCGTGCTGATTTGCATACTCTGATTGGTTGAGGACTGCATCGTATCTCATCACAATCATTTCGCACAAGGTGATTATTGCAGGGGCGCTAAATTTCAAAATGGCTGTCTTGCGTTGTTTCAATTTTGCCGATGAAGTCATAAACGCGATAGAAGAAAATAAAATTACGAAGGTAAAAAGGTGCTATTAAGTTTCGCGTGACACTTTTCAAAATAACGATATGAAGCTTTTGCTGATTGAACGAAGTAAGATTGGCTGATCATCGCCAAACCAACGGACGAAACAATTGCAACAGAGTGCTGTCAACAACAAAACAAATTTACAACAGAATTCGAAAGCACCTGAAAAATTATACTGAAACAATTATTTGTTGATGGTGAAGTGAATAATGTAGAATAAGCCCCTAGAAAAATACAGTACATGAAAGCACAATCAAGGGTACTTGGCCCAAAATGCACACAAAAAGGGCTTTAAAAACGCGCGCACAGGCGTGCAACTTTCGAAAACACACTAAAAAAACGGGCGCAGAAGAAGCTCATCAGTATGCATGAAGCAGTCTTTTATTTTACCCTTTTTTTTCACTTAGAATGCTGTGTTAGATTTATAACAAAGGAGGGATTCCGATCGTGGTGACATTACTTGGTTTTATCCGGAAGCGTATGGCGTCAGTTCAGTTGTGAAATGACTTTTTTGCATTGCGAAGAAAAAAGAAAAATTTTTTGACCAGCCGGGTATCTCCTTAGAAAGCGCACAAAATCGGGAAAGATCAAGTTCAATTAAGTCATTGTTGTAAAAGTTTACCAGCAACAAAACTTGAAAACTTGCTAAATTATGTGAAATTATTTGCAGTTTCCTGTAACAGGTGACGTTTTCCAGATGCTTTACAAGGTCAATTTTAGGTTCAAAGGAAGAAAATTAGATTCCACTTTGTCGTTTGCAGTTCGCATTAAGTTCCCTTAACGTTATGCATCAAGACATTATTGTTTACAAGTAGGCAAGATCGTCTGTTGAAATCGTTATGACGATATATCATCACGAAACGCTAAGCGTCAATAAAAAGTACGAGCGAATCAAAACCGCTCCTATGAAGGAAAAATTTCCTGAAATGTCGCGTGGGAATTATTATGGAGTCGCGATTTTAAAATGTGATGTGAAACTACTTCTTGGAGTTTCAACCTTACTTTTTAAAAGCTTCAAATCGCTGACTTTTTAAACCGTGCTCACGACCGTAAGATTTAATTTTCGAGGTTATAGGACGGGTATCGGCGGGATCATAATTTAGCTTTGTTTGCGATTCACTCGACTTCTAAGATGTATTCTATAACCAGGCATAAGAGATGATTCCTAAACAACTATTGATCGGGAGATAAGATCTTTAATTACAAGTCACGCGAAGCCGAGTACACTCAAACGTGATATTAATTATAGGAAACAATTATATTACTTTAACGAAAACTGGAAAATATTTTAGCGCCGAAAGTAAGTAAACAAGACGCAAGGGTGCCAGTCGAATAAGCCAACTTCTCGCTCGAGTTGTATCCTTTACAGTATTTTCAAATTCCTAAGACAAAGTTGTCTCCATTTCAGGCTGGAATCTTACCTCCCTTAGAAGAAAAAACTGTATCATATCTTAAAAACTTTCACAAACTTATTTCACGAAATGCCGGTGGAATCATGACAAGTCGTTACGACGTTTTATTGAAACGGCAGCCATTGTGTCTATGCTTCGATTCGGCGGCGGCATTTCGAAACAGGAAACTTATGTTTTCCGAAACAATGCAGAACAAAGCAATAAAAGGGGTAAGTGGCTAAAGAAACTGCGATGCTGCGTCAGTAGGTGAGTATAACAGGGCAATTTTGTATTATCAACTGAGTTGATAACGTAAATTGGCCGCTGTAAAGAGTTTAAAAGTTGACGTTTCAAGCGTTAGCCCTTCCTCAGAGCGACTGACGAGGGGCTGACGCTCAAAACCTCAGCTTTTAAACTTTTTATGGTGGCAAATTCACGTTATCAACTCAGTTGATAAAACTAAATTACCTCGGAACAAGGCAAGCTGACTGCGTTGAATGACAAAAGCAAAAACGTGCTTAAGACACGCGCTTTGAGGCGAGCTTTTTTTTTTTTGCGCAGAATGCAAAAAGCGTGCAGAGGTTTTGCGTGTGCGTTGGCCATGTACCTCTAAGCTGTACTATATATATACATACATAAGTTAAGTATATTTTCATAGATGTCAGAGATTATTCATCGTTAATTGATTTTCGGTTGATTTTTTGCGATAAGTGGCAGATGATTTAACAATAGGATCATATAATACATTTAAAATGAAGAGACCGGAGCGTGAGACTAGAACAGCGTGAGACTTGAGCAGCGTGAGAGAGAGAGAGAGAGAGAGAGAGAGAGAGAGAGAGAGAGAGAGAGAGAGAGAGAGAGAGAGAGAGAGAGAGAGAGAGAGAGAGAGAGAGAGGTGAAGTTGATTTTATAAAATAAAACGTGATTTTAATGATTAAGAAGAAAAAATTATATCACATCTTTAAAATTTCCACAAACTTATTATACGGATTAAAATCTTATTATTAGATTAAAATCTGTCGGATGATCGCGTAAGCGTGAAACTCAGAGTCACGGCAGTTATGTCTTATTGATTTGTCCAACTTTCAGATATACCCCGCTCTGCGAACGCATCGAGCAATATACCGCAAGGATAGACTATACTCAAGATTTATTTACATATATATATACTAAAATCAATGAAAAACGAAAGTCTTCTTTTAACTTTTAGTTTGCTTTTGCGCTACGCGTTTCACCGCTGTTGCGGCTCTTCAGGCATAGCAAAGTGTGTTTATTGACTTGTTACGTCACTGATCTAGTTGTAATTACAATGATAATGGCTATTGTACAAGATTCTCAGCCCCTCCGAGGTCATTAGAAAGAACAAAGAGAGGTTTTTTTATTTCGAAATATAAACCCGTTCTTAATGACTTGAAATTACGCTAATTGCTCGTGATCGCTTTGAATTACAATCAGACTGCATACTGCTAGTCTTCACCAAGCGAGTTAGATTGGCGGTATAATAATCAGCCGAAATGTCGCGATACATATCCGAAGTGACCACATCGTGAGAGAAACGATTTTATCATGTAAACTACGATGTTGTACAAGGATTATTAGCCCTGAGAGAAGCCGTAACAACACACGAGAAAAAATACGATATTTTTTCACTTTGTTTGATATCGCTAATCAGTAGCTGACACGTCACTCGCCTTTCGCGCCACTCGGTCAGGTTGATGAATGAACGGCAAAGCCTTCACCATTTTCAATTCATGGTTGTTGGTCGGAATTTTCTCGTATTATGATTGGTAAATTACTGAAAAATCCGTATGGCTTTCAGACACTGACGTTCAAACTTTCCTAGAATGGAAAGAAAACCAAAATTTGAAAAGAAAAACCGAAAGTTACGCATTCAATGGCTTTGGTAATAGCATTTCTCGCAGCTGACAACGAAAATCGACAACTGGAAGATTTTCCACGGGCCAATTTTAGCAATGTAGCTGAAAGATTTGTTGAGGTAATGTAAAAGTCAATAACTGACAATTTTTTATATTGAAAATGACGCCCATTGTTGTTTTGTAGTGATTCACAGCTTTTTTTTTCCATATTGAGCTTAATCGCCAACGCACTTTACGCTTTTTATTCGGGGATTGTCGATCCTTTTATTTTCATTCGTTCATAAAGTCGACTTTTCTCGTCAGCTAAGGGCTACTGTGTTTATAAGATGAACAAAATAATACAAGGCTACTTGCAGATATGGAATTTCTCTTCTCGTGTTCAACTCGAAATCTCACTCGTGAGCTATCGAGTATAACACTCGAAAAGAAATTCCATATCTACGCGTGCCATTTATTATACTCCATGTATTTC